CTGCTGCTGCTGTTGTTGTTGTTGGCGTTGTTGTTGTTGTTGTTGTTGTTGTTGTTATTGTTTCTTTGTTGTTGTTTTTTCGGGGGAGGGGGAGTCACACTAAAATTAACAATAAAAGGAACACTGTTTTAAATTGACCAGACAGTTGGTAAATTGAGAGGCTCCACAAAAAAACAACTAGATTTAAAAACACAGCTGGCACCGACACAAAGCGTGTACACTGTCAAAGTCGTACTGTAAATGTAGCTTCAGGTCATTAGGGAATAATAGTTTCCTTTCTTGTTTGAATTCGTTGGTTATATATTTCTCATTCCTATCTATGGACACCCACTTCCAATTTAAGGAGACACATGGACGTTTTGTTCCCTTTTGAACAAAATTGACATGGGACTTAAAATGTTTGCACATAAGATTCTAATGCAAAATTGAAATCCCTGAAACCCCTAAATGGTGGTCTGTCTTTTTAAATAACCATACGGGTCTAGCACAACTCAATACATTACTGCAGTCCTAATGGTCCCATGGTAAGCAAGCCCAGAGTTTTGACTTAACTCAAGTAATATAATTTATAAAGACAGCATTTTCATTATTAGTGATCACTGGGAGTGTGTGCTTATACTTCAACTGGACAAGAAATTCAGCCCTTAGGCGATTGCCTCATCTCTGATCGTGCCCCTATTCTATGGCGGCCAGTTGCTCTAAATCCGCTTGTTTTTCCATTTAGTCTCCAGTGCCATGTCTGATTGGGCAATTTTTTCTCTGGCATTCTAAGAACATGTCCAAAGTACCTCTATTTTTTAAAAGGTCATATTGATATCTTTTATCTTAGCTCTTTCTAATACTTTGTTATGAGTCAAATAATTTTTGTAGACATAGGTTGTATATTTTCATTTTGGTAAACCGAATCTCTGCACGTAAACATTAAGTGAGCATTTCTCTTTCTTTTCTTCCAACAATCTTCGTTCACCAGATTGTGGGAGCTTTCACCTGGCTCGGCTTCGAGAAACCCAACGTGACCCTTATTCTGGTTCAGAAAAACACCCTGGTGCTCAAATGTCGAGCGAGTCAGGTGGCGACCATCGTGTCTCTCTTCTACAACATCTTCCTCATCATCATGTGCACGGTGTACGCTTTCAAGACGCGGAAGATCCCCCAGAACTTCAACGAGGCAAAGTACATCGCATTCACAATGTACAGCACATGTATTGTGTGGCTTGCTTTCGTGCCCATTTATTTTGGGGCAAACCACGATTTCAAGGTATGTTGTGTTCTGTGTTTGACCATCAATAATTTATTTATAGAGGCACTAGCCATCCATGTACAGGTGCTGTTTTAGCCGTTTTCTGTGTGAAAAGGGTAAAAAAAAAGGTTGAGGGTGG